CCAGGGCAGATGTGGTTGCTAAGGCAACGCATCACCCTCAATCCAGGGCTCCGCCTCCACACTGAACACGCCCCCACGTTATGCCACACTGTACTGGGCAAAGTGGTTAGAAAATGGATGAATGGATGACTTCAACATCACTTCACTTGACTGTATGAGACTGCTTTAAGGAACTGCTTTCCTTCATAAGCACTGTATTTCTAGGTGCAAGATGTAGCACGCTGAGCTTTATTTAAGAAATAACGGTAATTTTGTTGATGTGGTATGGAAAAAATGGGTCTTTAGTAAGCAACAACATGCTAAATGCTCTGCTCATTCTTGTTATTGATGTCTTCTAGCGTCACCTGTGAAACTGTGGGAGGTCCAGCGTACCTTTAGTGCATTGCAGTACAACTGCTGAGTAGCATAACGTAGGAGACAGGGCTGTCTCAAAGGAGAAGGAAGATGCCATTAATCGTATTACATAAAATGACAAATTCTGACCAAATATTACTGCAAGGAAAAAAATCTGTTGTGCCTTAGTGTTGTTAATGAAATCCAGAGAACAGAGTGACAGATTAATAGCTGCTTAGCTAAGAAACTGTACAGTAAGAGACCTCTAAAAGTATAATAGGCAAAAAAAAAAGTTAATGAGAAAATGAAGTTTGTTATAAATAATAAATGACCTAAGTGTCCAGCTAAGCCTGAGCTTTGGTGAATTGGTTAACTGCATATAATTATAGAAACATAAAACTCATAGCTAACTCTTGCTTTTTTAGTCAGTTAGAATTTTCTCTGAGCAGGACAACTGACCTCCCATTTTTCAATTCTGACAACTAAGACCTTAATAAAATGCCCGCGTAGGTTGGGATTTATCTACATTTCTGTTTTTATCCACACTGGATGCTTTCAGAACACAGTAATGTTTTTTTCTTTGCTTTCATGACAAGAAATCGAATAAACTACAGCTGGGCACTGAGCATACTGAAGCTGACCTGTGGTTCATATTTTTCTAGATATTAGTAATAAGAGCCCATATTGGAGTTATCTTTGACATGGTTTCTAAACTGCAGTAATGCATTACTCTACGAGAGGTCTACACACTCAACAAGAGACAACTTTTTTGACTCTCTTCAAATCCAAACTTAAAACATGCCTTTTTATCAAGGTCTACATCAGAATGACCTACATCTGTAAAAACATTTTTCTTCTTTTACATTTTATTGTTTTTTTGTGTGCCTTTTTTCATTATGTAGTGCATCCTTGGGTTTGGAAAGGCACTTTACAATTATTTCATATAATTTTAATATAAATATTATTTTAGGTATAATAATAATAGAGAAATATGAGAAGAAAAATGAATGGATTTACCATAATCATCATAGAACATGTTTCATATACCGTTAATATAATTGTCTTAACATTTTATGCCCATTTGTCTTATTTTGTTGCTAATTGATCAAGGGGCTACACGAGTAGTAGTAGTTAGTAGTTAGCACTGCTGCCTTGCAGCACAGGGGCCATGGTTTCAGTTCCTTGGGTGCTTTCTGTATGGAGTTCATATGTTCTTTTCGTGTGGTTTTCGCCTGGTGCTCCACTTTCCTCCCACAGTCCAAAGACGTTCTTGTAGGTTAAGTGGCTTCTGGCCCTGGTGTGAGTGTGAGTGTTTGTGTCTGTCTGTCCGGAGATGGTCTGGCATCCATAGACTACATTGGGGGTGTTTCCAGGATAGGCTCGGGCTCCCCAATGACCCTAATTTGGATGAAGAGAATGGAGAGAAGATCCAAGGATCACATCTAGCCATTCCCTCAATGGTCACAGTGAATGGACTTCTACCACGTAGACATACAGCTTGTTCCCGACTCCTACACTCTCGGTCAGAATGAAGCGCCTCTCTCTGACACAAGCCAACTCTCTTCTCTATCTATTCCTGTGCCAGAGGCTGCCTCCTGTCAGCCATATAATGTATTACTAGAGAACAGTCTCCATGGACACACTCTGGGAGAACTCTCTGCTCTCAGGGATCTGGATATTCATCTAAGGCAGACTGGAACTCAAAGGGTGGCTGGGAATCTGAACAAACTCCACAGCCATGCTTTACAAGGCTGATTACCTTGGATCCTCTGAGAGACAGCTGGGCATGATCTCCAGGTAGCTAAATAAGCAAACACAGGCTGAATGGTCTTGACTGAGTCCAGCTGTTTCTAGATAGAAACCTGGGCATCAGCTTCAACAACAAGACTGGGTAGCTTATTTCACAGGCCCATCACCTTTAGAGTAATGAAATGCCTCTTGTTTTCAGTTTTAAACACACTTCTGTATAGTTTCCACTTGTGCCCCACGGTTTATGTTGCACTGTTTATTTTGCAGAAATTCAAATGTTTTTTAAATTAATCCTTATTTTTAGGAAGATAATGTTCTTATACAAAAAAAAAGCCACGTTGAATGTTTTTCATTATATTTCGTTCGCCTATTATGAACTATCTCTGACCTCATTTATTTCGGAATATATCTCAATAATGTGAATTGAGTCTTTTATCAGCTGTTTACTCGAATTATTTATTCTAGCTCAGCTTACATTATACTTCATTTTTAAAGGCACAATGTATCGATGTGCAAGATAAGCAATGGCCAGCTGGTCACTTTAGGAAAACAAAAAAAAAAGAATTGTAAAATATTTTAGAAGCAGTGGGCATTCCAGGATAACTTGTTAATATATATATTTTTTTTTATTTTCAACATTTAACAAGAGTATGATGTGAGACCAAGAAAAGCAAAGAAATCAGTGAAGTGACTGACAGCAGTGAAATCACTAATAATAATTACAACACAAATTATAGTTGTTGGCACTTTATATTTGTTTACTCATCCATTTCACTGAATGAATATTGTTTCTTAAATTTGACAAACTGAACACCGATTCAACACATTGTGTAGTGGTAAAAAACGGTCAAAGATAAAGGTGTAGCTGCACACACAAGTGCTGGGGCCCGTCATCACGTCTAGATTTTAGGATGCATCTGTGTTCATGTATGATCGGGGAAAATACCACTGACAAAGACGTGAAGCTGTATAAATGGTTATGTAAAGTTATCAATATCCATTCAAATGGTTTAACAGAAAGGGGTGTCTAAATGGGTTCCCTAGAGTTTTCTAGTGTGGACTTTCCCTCATGTCAGGTAACACTGCATTATTAACTTTATTCACTATGCCTGCCTAGACTGGCAGCTTCCTCTGAGAATAATCACTTCCTGCCACTGTTGCAAAGGCTGTAGCATTTGTCTGCCCTTCATACAGGGGACATCCAGGAGAGCTTTAGAGTAAAAGAATCCCGATGCGGGTGCTACTGGGTACATATACGTTGTTTGCTAGTTGGCAATGCTGGTCAGTGCATGACATTTAAGAGATACTACACACTAAGCTATTCAAATACTACACACACTTCTGTCCTGGGTTCAAATCCTACAAGAGAAGCTGCTGCTGAAGCCCTTAAGCAAGAGACTTCACCCAAACTTTCTCTCCTAAATGTATCAATGAATACTTTTTAGATCATCATTGTATAAAATACAATAAGTATTTGCTCTAAATACATATAATCTTAAATAAAAAATGCTGTTTAGCAATTGATATTTACTCTGCTTTTATTGAAGACTCATGTGATTGTTAAGATGTCCTAATAAATTAGTGTAAGACAGACGTCTTAAAGAGGAAGATGTAAGCAGATATGAAAAAATAGAAAAAGTCTTGATTACATACGTTTTGAAACTCTCTGAATTAAATTAAGTACACAAAATTAACTTAACAAGCCAATTAGTTGATTGGTTTCTGTCTGTGTGCAATAATAGTGGCTCACATGATTTCACAATAAATACATCTGTCTCTGTAAGAGATGTACTGTATTTACTGTGAAATGTAAGGCAGTCAGTCAGGTAGGTATTTTCAAGCAAGGATTCAATCTTTAAGAAAAAGGCGCTCTTTAAACAACTTCAGGGAAAAAGTTGTAAAATAACAGATTGGGAGTAAATTCAAAAACACCAAATGTAATCTTGGAGCATGTGATGTTGATCATTGAGAAGTGGAATGGTTTTTATAGCACCCCAAAAAACTGCATAGATCAGGCTGTCCCTCCTGTGAGCAACTGGATAAGGAGGACATTGGTAGGGGACGAAACTGTGAATTTGAAAGAGCTCCAGAGTTTGGTGGTTGAGATGGGAGAATATGTCAACTGTCAATGAGAAATAAAAAAACATCTCAAAACTTTCATGTGGTCTGCCAAAAATCACAAGTGATACTGCAAACAAGTAACAAGAAGAAGTGTCCGACAACAAAGCTGGAGCCTTCTGACAAAGTGTAACAAGTGCACCACTCAATGAACACCGTCGCTAGAGCCAAGTGTTGTGGTGGCCGCATTATGTTCTAGTTCAGCTTCTCATCCACAGGGACTGGGAATCTTGTCAAGACTAGATGAACAGACCAGAAGCAAAGTACTGGCAAATCTGCGCGTGATCATTGTGCACATTGTGCTGCTCGGCCCCTTCTCCACTCACACCTGGCCTCTGGTTTATCCAACTTTCCCTGCCTACTGTGATGTGCGCCTCACACATGGGTCTCTCCCTGACCTGTGTTCACCTCTCCTGTCCACCAGAGGGACAGAAATAAGATTCACAAGATAGGACACCAGAGTAAAGGTCTGAATTCATTCGTACAAACAAAACACTAACTTCCCTTGGAGGGGTAACACGCCATGCTCCTAAGAACACAGGAAAGAGGAAGGGTGTTTTCTGATCAGATTCTCACCATGTGACCTCTGGCTCTGGGCAGCCCTGGACAGTGCAGGACAGCTTCACATCCATCTGCTCCCACACTGAATGGCTGCGCAGGGGGATGAGGAAGTCAGGGGGTCGCATCTTCCTCAGCTCCAGAATGTTCTTCTGGACCATGGCCTTCTCCTGTGCCTGGGATGGTATAGTGTGCATTCAAATGTTATTAGCGAAATAAATGAACCATAATCTTGTTCTAAGAAATTCTATAGTACACCCGACTGAACAAACCATAAAGAAACATAGAACCATCTCTGGACTTTCAAACAGCTGAGGTACATTTATTTTTATTAATACTGCGTCTGTAACCTTTCAGGCTTAATAAAACACCACTGTTTTTTTGTTCTCCAAACAATAAAGCACTTGCCATTCAAAGAACAACTTTCAACCCTGTCCTCCACTTCAAAGCTTCTTTTTATCTTAAATGAAGGCAAATGGATTTCTAAATGGCTACAAGCTTACAGCCAAGGGTGTATCATACTTCATTAACCACATTAGTAGCCCTTTATAATATTTTTACAAAAAACGGGGTGGAGAGGTGAGCTAAGAGTAGCTTTAATTAGCAGCAAATACACCATCATCAACAAGTGCAGCAGCAGGAGACATTACTAATATGCCAACTCCAAAATGCCTCCTTGAGGAAATCGGGCCAGTAATATCTGTTATTTTAAATGTTGGGTATGAAAACGAAAAAACGGATGGATAAAGGAATCTCTTAGACCAGGGGACCCTCACATGGCCTTCAGGAAAATGGAGCAGCTGCCCATGTTTACTCAGAGCAGGAACTGCTACAGACCTTGCGGCGCAGGGCTTTCCGGTCGACTCGACGCCTCATGATTCGCTGGTCTAGGATCACCGCCACCTCCAATTTCTCCACCTCGTTCCCGAACAGTGTCCTCTTCTCCCTCTCCTGCCGCTCCTCCGCAGTGGCCATGTACTCCCTGGTCACAGCACATTTTATGAAAAGATTGTTGGTCGTCTTGTAGTTTGGCAACATCCGTACTCTTAACTGTAATAGCTTGGGAACATTAGTGAGGATAATCAGCAGAATCATCAGAGCAAATCAAATCTAACTGTCCTCTACAAGCTGAGGGGTCTAAAGATGGACAAGAATGGAGTGTGTGGCACACCCCCTCTATTGTGAATTTGCACTACGCCAGTCTGGGAAATGTCTTTGTATCCCCAGGTGTAATTGGAAATAGATTCAAGAAATCTTTCATCTCCTCAGCAATTATCTCTCTCCAACAATGGCAAATAACTCTCTTATTTCCTGTAACCCTGTCGTACTGTATTCTTAGTTGGTGGTGTTTTTCTGTTTTTATTGTATTGGATCCTGCCATAAAACACATTTTCCCTGGGGGATAATAAGGGATAGATTGAATTGGATCAAATCAAATTATCTTTTGCATGAACATGAAAAGAAAGCAAACCTGCCTGCTTTCTGTTAAGGGTGTCCTGAAAACCTTGACTTTCCGATTACAATGCCTGTTTCTTCCACTCACTCATTATTAAACTGCCTGTTACTGTGACGCTGATTATGGGCCATTAGGTTTACTTTTTCATGTGTTTTTTTACAGCACTGTATTTTAGGGACCTGGAAAATAAGGTGACTCAATGGGACATCCATGTGCACTTAGAAGGACTGAATAACCTGTTAACACAAAAGCATGAATCAAATTAAAGATGAAGTCTTGTTCCAGTCTTATTTAATCTCACCTTTTTTTCCCGTTACTGAAATATATTTTTGTCTCCCTCATGATGAACGTAACACTTTGGCATTAACATTTTATGTAAGGGTTCTGTGTGCTGATGACTCACTCAAGATTACAGTCATTCTGGCCTGTGTGGAGCTCTTTGTACACTCAATGATGTCTAGATTGTCCTAATAGCCTCCCGTCTTTTGTAAGCTTTCTTACACCTTGGCCAACATACTGTAAATCGATGATGCATAGTCACAATATGCTCAAAAGAATGAAAATTGCAACAGATCTTATTAGATTCTTATTAGACTAGATCAGAGATCTAAATATAAAAATATAAGCATAGAAGAGGGACATTTTCAAGAAGCACAGAGGATAAAAAAAAGATTATCCTATAAAGACTGATGATAGTCTACCAATTGAACTTAATGTTCACTGGCATTGATATAGTTTGTAAACTAGTTAAGATTTCCGGAGTATTAGCTAACAAAAGGAACAAAGAAAATTCAGGAAGAGGTAATTTGGAGACACTTGGCTGATTTCATTTAATGTAGACAAGTATTATGTTAAGTTCTACATACAGATAGCAGAGATATAAGCTATAGCTACAAAAAATACTTAACTGACTATATTGACAATTATATTCTTCAAGGATGTGGGGAACAATAGAAAAGCAGGCAAAATCATTGGATGAAAAATAAAAAAATAAAATAAAAAACGTTATAATACAATTATAATAAAACTGTAACAACAATAGTAATAAATAAAATAGTAAGACCTCACTTACTGTAGAATACTGTTGACAGTTTTGGTATACATTCAACAAAAATACATTGTTGCTCTGAAATCAGTCCAGAGAAGAGCAACCCATTAGATTCTTCAACCCACGAATTCTTAATGAATGAAATCTGTAGACTGACAAGCTTAAAGAGTCGAATCTTTTGAACTTGAACAGAGGAGACTACAAAAGCACATGTTGCAAATAATCAAAAACTTCAAAGGCATTCACACTGTCACCCCATTGGAATTCTTCAGAAGTCCAGTGCTTTACAGTGGAAGATGAACCCGTGGAAACTACAGAGAAGTGCCATCAATACACAGAACGGGAGGCACTCTTTACACAAAGGGTTGTGGGAGTCTGGAACGCATTCCCCAACCACGTTGAGATATCCCAGGTTCTTTCTGTACATGGCTAAAGAGATGCTCAGATCAATTAGGTACAAGCAGTCAATGAGCTATAAGAGCTAAATGGCTCTCTTTCTCTTGTAACCTTTCATAGATTTTTAGTCCTTATGCGAATAAACTACGGTTAATTGTTTTTTACACTGGCACTGGACTTATTACATATCATCAATATATTAGTATGTTATATATTAGTATATAACTATAGATTACATTAATATTATATATTTATAATTATTTCAAATTTCAATTTGATGAAAAAAGAAATTCTGTAACACCCTACTGAAGTTCTTTCATAGATATCTCCACCTCTTGTGACACTGGGAATAATATATATACACATACATATTGCAAATGCAGTCGTCAAACTAAATTTCGCCAGACATGCTTAAGTGTGGAGTCTGTGTTGGGAATCAATTTGCCAGATTGAAAATATTCATGTGACATTTTTCTGTAATTTGGAGAGGTGACCTCCTGCGCCTTGACATCCTCTAGCATTTGTATTCATTACAGCTGCAGGCTGACTTGCAGGGACAGTGGGCAGCAGAAGGCCAGGAAAGAAGCCCATCAATCAGCCTCCACATCCAGACCCTCCATCTGGATAATCTGAATGCAAACACGAGGCGGAGATGAGACGACCAGGGGCCTGAGTCGCGAGCTGCTGCTGGCCAGATCACAGCCCCAGATTACAGACAGGATAATACGTCTGGCATTAGTATGGATAAACGTGATAAACGCACACAGAGACTTTTATCATTGAATCTCAGGGGCTGTAAGACAGGGACATCGGGTTTTGTTCTGGTTTCATTCTTGTTTTCTTGAATCCACTGACTATGGTGATATTCCATCGTTTTCAAGGTCTTTTTTAAATGGCAGATTTTGAAGACTCCCTCGATTCCAGGTTACATGCCTTGGACAGAAGTGTATTTAAAAATCATCAGATAGGTCGATCAGCTACTTATAGACTTTATAACCCTTGAAAACGTTAGCTTGATGCCTCCTGTACAAGAGGAAGATATGTTTTACAGGCACAGCTGAGCTCCTTCAATATAGGCTCCTTATAAAAGTCAACCCTGCTAGCATCACATTTAAATATCCAGGCTACAACATAAAGGGAGTCAATGAATTCAAAGTCCTGATGATATCACTTCAATTACTGTCAAATTCTTGATATTATCAATGACAAATATCAGCCACTGAACTAACTACTACACCAGTCTGCTTGTAAATACTATGTTTAATACAGTAGACAATGCTAGCCTGGAACAACATCAAATAAACGAAAGCCAAATTTTCTTAATGTCAAAAGGTTTGCTTAGTACCTTTGAAGTGATATTGGGAAGCTTTTGCTGTGATGAATAATTCAAAGGAGAGAGCTTTCTGAAATGAATTTGATTTTCCCTAAAAAAAACTATTTCATTTCAATTTTCACAAAACCCACCTGTTCTGACTGCAGCTGTGGAGGCTGTGATCCATCCATAATGTGTCACCTTCGCTGCACAACCTACAAGTCTAAAAATCTAAACTCTGTTCATAGCACTCAACACGATGCAACTTGATATCTTTTTACAGCTTTGTAACTGTTTTGATTGCATGCTGATTTGCTCTAATAGGATTTAGGTAAATAGATTTGGGGGATCAATTAAAATATTCAGTTATGAAAGGGGAAATACTCAACAATCAAAAGGAAACTATACTTCCAAATGCATTTAAAGAAACATTTCAGCTTCAAGTAGTGATCCTGGTTTGAATCCCAGAAGATCTGAATTAATTCTGTACTTCGGTCCTTTTACTAAAATGATATGGTTCTGGTATTTCACACAGAAACTCCAGCTTTTGGGGAGTCTCAGGGTGCTCTGATTCTTCGGACTGAGCTCAAAGCAGAACTGCAGGGTGTGAGCAAAGGCAACTCCTCTGAGGTCCTTTTTGACTTTTTGGAATCAGCTGGGACCCCGACAAATTGAGATGATGCAGATAAAAAGGAATTCCTATCCTAGAGACTTTAATAGTGTTATTTCAATACTGCTGAAATAAAAAAACAAACCCCTTTTTGGGCCAGTCCTTGCCCCCTGTTCCTAACCAAATAGACTGTCAAACTGTATGCCATATACTTGACAATTCAGTGAATAAATGAACTCGTCCTGACTCGTTTTAACCTAGGCATCCTTCTCTGTGGAGTCTGCATGCACACTTCACATCTACAGTACATAGGTTTTTTTCCCTGGGACACTGGTTTCCAGGTTGTCCCATGTAGGCTGTAGTGCTCTCTGGCTCTCTAATATTCTGGACTGGCTCCAGGTTGCTGTGATTCTTACCTGAAATACTGGTGTAAGTGCCCATCAGATAATGGGTGGTTATATGGGTTTGTTAAAACTCGGGTGTCTTGTCCTCTAAATTGTTAGATGTTAATGTTGCTAGGGATGATAAATGCTCATCAGCAATGTCTAGATGCTGGAGTGGAGTGGGATTGTCTCAGCTGGTAAAAGATGACATTGGGTTAAGGACAGAATTCAAGAGGATGTTAAACATGTTATTTTCAAATGCTTGAAGGGTGCTCTCTGGCCCTCTTACTGTTTGCCATCTCACTGGCATAAGCACTGCTCTGCCAATCTGCCTCTTTTGTCCTCAATGGTATCAAAGAACAGACAGCTCCACATCTCCCACTGTGCTGTGGATACCCTGTTATGATCTCCCAATTACTCCCTTTCTTGCTATTTGCAGAAATTGCTGCATACTTCCCGAGCAGAAAATGAACTGGTCCAAGTCCGACCTGCTTTCTCTGAATACAAAAAGATGCGGTTTTACCTATAGATATATCAACGATCCAACCTTTTAACTATCTCAGAAAGGAAATGTGGCCATCTGACAACATGATTGAATTAGCAAACTTCAATAAAGGACTTGGAAAACCGAGAGAGACATGAACAGATGAATGCAGGTTCTCAGCTGTCTCTTGGCCCACTTTTCCATAATATAACCGGATCAGCTTCCCCGTGTCTGTTTCGACAGTCCGACTCTTCTACTCCCTGCTCCCAGGGGAAATTGGACCAAATTGGATTCTGTAATTTCTGCGTTCATGTGGAAGGGGAAGCATCCTTCTATCTGATCCAGTACTTTCCCTCTCGACAAATCTGCTGGAGGATTACATCTACCTAGACTTGTACTTTATTTTTAGTCATTCAACATTGTCTGGCCACACTGTGGTTCCTGAAATGGGGTTCAAGTGTTGTGGAGGCAAAAGTATTTTCCCAATGGACTACAAGATCTGGTTTCTCTGGTATAGTTATCAGATGATGTAAATCAAAGCGTGGGAACTTGTGGAAAACGGCACTGAAACTGGAAATTGGATGTGGTATTTACACTTTGCCATCTCACATAATGCTGTCTCCCTGTCCAGTCCTTTTCCACAGTGGTTGGAATTCATATTCTTGTCAATCAGCAACATTCCAGCACCCCCAATCACATGAGAATTTACCAGAGACATTTTCTTTTATAATGTGTATCGGGGTGATTCCTGCAGCACAGAGCTTTCACCTCACCCTTTGCACAATATGCTGGAAGAGGCAGAGCAGTGAGACTGGTGGCTTCATCCTAGAATTTCAAATTCAATTGTAAATAAGAAACTCATATGACCCAACAATGATTTGTGATTTGACAATGACAAATTCTTCTGGGAAATGAACAGATCTCTCGGAATATTAAACCATCATCTATTTCCCGTTTAACCAGAATATGCACCACCACTTTGAAAGGATTTTATTGGGTCTTGGTGATGCAGCTTTGTGTGGACTGTGCTTATCCAGGCAGAAGGTGGCATTTGAATGTCCTGATGTGAATGTGTTTTTGGGAGTAAGTTTGTTCAACTTTGGCTACAGTACTGAGAAAACGTATTTAACTGGTCAGGTGACCAGCATTCTGGGAAATGTGGTACAGACAAGAATCTCCATATTGTCTGCGGTCACTGCCCTCTCACACCTGTCCTGATCCGTACACTCTAGCTTGGCAGGGTTCATTCAGTTTTCCCTGATGCTTAACTTATCTGTATTTCTCCCGTTTCATGCCCAGATGTCTAAAAATATCAGTCCTCCTGATTCTAGTAGGCTAATGATTTGTTCTGCCTCCAATTTCAGTGTCAGCAGGAAACCCTTCAAAGATCCAGAGCTCTCCTCTAAAGCAGTGCAAATCTGAAGAGAAATACCTCAGAAAAGAAAAGCTGGCTTAACCCTTGGAAAACTTGAGCATGTTACACATTCGTCTTTTTGATAGAGGTAGGCAAAGTTTTTACAAAGGTCCATAAAACAGCCAGATGTATATCTTTTATTCTGTTCATTTGTTAAACACTTAAATCAGCTTTAAATTATCGATGGGATTCTTTTGTTTTAATTTCACATTTGATCAGTAACACTAAAGTCAGTCTACAATGTTTTGACACTTGTCAGTGAGGAGGATGTAACTAAGACTTTTCTGCTGGCTCCCTTTCTGAACTGAAACAAACGGCAGTGAGGCTCCTCTGCTTTAAAAAAAAATGCCAGTGAGCACCAGTCCAGTGAAATTCGTGAATGGTGTTAAATTAGATCATCCACTTCTGAATCTGTAGAGGTGATTTAATATTGTGACCTGCTGTGCTGCACTCTCCCTGAGTGCATTTCTGTACCAAGTCTCTCCTCCAACCCTACAGAATCAGCTGCATTTTAAGATGAATGCAGGAATAAAAAGCAAGATTTAAAGGAGTGTGACCTTGTTAAGCTCAGTGCTAGAAGAATAACCGGATGAAAAGGTTATCCTTTAGATTTGATTTGTGGCTAAACATGCTACGAAGGGAGATGCCCAAACTTCAGCAAATATAAAAGGACCTGAGACAGCAAGATAATGGTTAGGTCACATACAGAGAAACAGGTTAGTTTTCCTCAGCATGGAGCTTGCTGATAAACCTTTCTCTTGGAGAAGATGAATGATTTACCCTTTAAAATTACAGTCACATCTTCCTTTTTTATCCAAATTATTTTCTCCTGCAGAAAAATAATTAGTTTTCCCTTTATGCCTCGTCACTTCGGAGCTGTGCAAGCTTGGCCTACCTGCAGGGGAGCTGAATAAGACATATGCACATCCTTCCGAAACACAGGGATGTAGCTCATCCCATGACCGACTCACAGTGCCACAAAGAGGTACACCTGCCACCCTTGCTGACAGCCCTCCTGACTCCCAGGACAAACCTCAGGAGTGACAGCTGTACAGCAAGGCCAGAACAACACGCCCAGTCCTGTGTGCTGCCTTTTGTGGACAATTGCTGGACTAGATCAAGCCCTCACTCAGATAGTAGGCTTTATTTTGATGCATACTGTACTGTATATGTAGTAAAGCTTTTCAAGAGATTTATCACTGTAATTTAGCCTCAGACTAGCCTGTTCCCACTGGTTACCCATATGTAAGGCTGGCCAATCACCTCTCCAAGAAATTCAGATCAGAAATGCCTTGTTGTGTGTTTAAACAGCAGCAGAAGTGAATTTGTTACCAATCTCACAACATTTGAAGGACGTCGATTCTCCTGACCGCATATATCAGTAGATCACAAAGAGAGCCTCATCTGTCTTGTTTCTTTAAGAAAACGAAGAAAGCGATTCCTAAATTAATTAAAACTAAATCCCCAAGGGTCTAGACTACATAAAAATATAGGCTTAAGAATGTCTTAATTGCTTTCTGTAAGAAAAGCTCAGCTGAAGTGCCTATCTATTATTGTGGAAAAATCTAAATCCTCGAGAAGAGAGCCAGTTATTTTTGGTTTAAGTACTTCCACTTGTGGTGGGAAAAAAATGACCCATTTCTCCAGCAAAATGTCTGGTTTTCAATGCCTTTCACATCTCTCTGGAGCGAAAATGCAAAGAGATGCAAGTAAAAAAAAAATGAGCTCAGAAACAGCTTAATGGTGTGATGGATGAGCTTCAAAGCGGCACTAATGTTTTGAGGTGTTTCTAATACTTTTATGACATTAATGTTATATTATTATTAAGCATAAAGTAAAATCATGCTGCACCAAAGTTTTCTGCCTGCATTGTGGAACACATCCTGCAATAACTTGGGAAAAAAGTTGACAGCAGCTATTAAGGTTTTATGATCTTAGCTTTTTTCCCAAAAGTATACAAGGTGTACACCTCACATAATATATAATCTGTGGTGAAGTAATAGGATTTGAGCCATGGCGAAGTGAGATTCTTGCACTTTACAATATGCCCAGTCGCCTTCTCTGTGTGCCCTGTCAAAGCGCTGAGACATGGTTTTGCTAAGGAGGCAGGTGAATAGTGAGTCAGCTGTTTACTCTTTTTACTGCAGGCATTGAGATTTAAAATATGCCTTTTGGTATATGGGAAAGAAAAAAAAATCAGACACATTGTACAGAAGCCATTGCTCACTCTGTTCTGTTGGCGGACAGAACTCAAATCACTCACAGCAATGAGACGGAGATACAGGAACCTTTTTCTGCAGTCGAGCACTTTCAAAGACTCACATGCGAGTAATGAAAAGCCCTGCAATATGAAAATAGGCACTGCCAAACTGAAAATCTAGTTTTCTGTACATCATTGCCTGCATCCATGGCATCAGGACATGCAGGAAACACAAAGCCAGGCTTGCAGGTACTGGTGTTTTGCTTCCGTCGGCTCCATTTTGTGCCCAGTGTTTTATCCCTTACATATTACCTCTGTGCCCAGACTTACCGTCTTATATCTCTTTAGAAAAAATGTAATATATGGTATCATGTGAACAGAATGAACAGCATTACCAGAGTGAACTCAAAGTGAAGGTACTGTACAACACAGTAACACAATGAGAAAACATACAGTGTTACAACAGTATTTCGTCCATGTAGACTTCAAGTTCCTTTTGGGAAACTAATGGCTCATGGCTACTGCAGTAACAGATGACCACAAAGCAAGTACCACTGCAATAAGCTTTCTGTTGTCTCGTTCTCACCTACCAGGGCTTTGAGCGAGAGGATGCACCAAAGTTCAGAAGTTCCTTCATAGACATGACCTCAGGGGACACAAAGGGGTGGAATTCTTGGTATGTGACCTCCTCATCACTGTTGGGAAAAACACAAGAGAAGGCACTCAGTGCAGGAGAAACCAGAACACAAGTTCTGTTGATTGTGTACACACTCAGAAGAACCCGGTCATAACACAATACCCTCCACTGTATTTTTGACACTTATCAAAATAAGTGGGCGGAGTGGTGGCACTGTGGCTAAGGATCTGTGCCTGTGGCTGGAAGGTTGCCGGTTCAAATTCTGTGGCTGGCAGAGGAATCGTACTCCGTTGAGCTCCTGAGCAAGGCCCTTAACCCCAACTGCTCCAGGGGTGCTGTACAATGGCTGTACAATGGCTGTGCTATGACCCCAAGCTTCTCTCCCCATCTGTGTGTCTCATGAAGAGCAGGCTGGGGTATGCAAAAGATGAATTCCTAATGCAAGAAATTGTATATGGCTAATAAAGTGATCTTATCTTATCTCTTATCCATTCATCTTCTCTCCATTCAGTGTCACGGGGGAGCCAGAGTCATTCCTCTGACCGGTGTAACATTTAATTATAAATAATAGTTGCGGACATTTAAAATGCCTTGAAAAAGCATTCACCCCCTTCCGATAATGTCCCATTTGTTAAATTCCAAATTAAATATGCAAATGTTTTAAAGCGAATGTTTTTAATCAAAACCTGAAAGCTGAGATTCAACACTTTGACACTTAGTGAAAAAAGTCGAGGAAAAATCAGAAAAAAACAAAATATATTGACTGCTTAAGTATTCACCCCCTTTGCTAAAGTAAATCTAAATTAGTTCAGGTGCACAAAACAGCTATAAAAAGTCAAAGCATTAGTTGAAAGGCCCCTGTCTGTGTGCGGTTATTTACATGATTTCAGAATGAATAAACCTGTCTCGGTGAGCTTTTTCAGTCAGGTAGCAGACAGTGGTAGAATATCAATCGAGGATTCAAGTAGGAAGACGAAGAAGCTTTCAAAACAACTCAGGGATAACATTTTAGAAAAGGCCCAAATCAGGAGAAGGATATAAAAACAATTTCAAAGATACCGAGATTTGTGGTGGCAACATTATGTTTTTGGGGCTGCTTCTCATTAGCTGGGAAAATCAGATTTGGTCTGCTAGAGACCTAAAACCAGGATAAAAACTCACCTTTTAGTAGGACAATAACATAAAGCACAGATCCAAAGCTACACTGGAGCGACTTAGAAATAAGAAAGTGAATGTCCTTGAGTAACCCAGAAAAGTTCTGACTCGAGCCTGAAAATCTGTGGCCAGACCTGAAATTGCTGTCCATCAACAATCTCTAATCAACTTGACAGAACTTGAAAGTACGTTTTAAAGGAAGAATGGAAAAGAAATTGCACCATCCTGGTGTGAGAAAATTGGTGGAGACTTATCCAGCGAGACTCACAACTGCAATTGCTCCCGAAAGTGCCATCACCAAGTATTGACTCAGGAGGGTGAACACTTCTGCAATCACCATACTTGAGTTGATTTTTCTTTGTGGTTTTTTTACTGATGGTTAACTTCTCTGACCAATTAAAGGTGTGCAGTTTGAGCATTCATGATTTATTTTTTCCCCCCACTTTAGACAAACATGTACATGTTATTTGCAATCCAAAAAAATGAGACAGCATTATACAGTCTGGAATAGTTTTGCAAGACACTTCCCCTCCCCCCCCCCAAAGGATCTCAAAGTGCTCCACATATAGGGAAAAATTCAATTCAACCACCAATGAAGAACAGCCTCACCTGGGTGATCACATCAGCTATTCTGAACAACTGCACAGCAGATCAGATGGAGAGCTGAGAATTCGCTAAAGCAATTGATTTAATGGGAGGTGGGCTTTCAGAAGTAGAATCTACTCAGTTGTGTGCCTCACTTAGAAAACAGTGTATATACTGTACAGAGCACAAAAAACATCCAGTGGACTTTACACATGTATACAATCAATGTAATATACTGTAAATGACAATACCACACAATACAGTATAAAAACATACAGTAGCATTCAAGTGAGCTACATACTATACATACGTGTATATACAGTATGTTGTCAATGCAATGCTTTGAAGGGGCTCGTACATCAGAATTTAAAAGAGTAATGGCACTTGGTATTAATGACTTCTTAATGTTTTATTTTACAACCTTTTGTACTCTGAAACATTGTCTGGATGGTAATTTCTCAAATTGGGAGTGAAATGGATGTGAGGGATCATTTACTATTAACAACACTTTCCTGTAAGCACTCTTAGCACAGATGTGGTTCAGCTGGTTCTGTTTCTGACCAGTTCCCACCTGATTCTCCTGCAGACTTGTGTGGACCAGCTTTAAGATGTCTTTGCTTTGCACCAGACAACAGAGTCTGGTTCAGTCAGGAAACAGGAGTTAAAACCACTACTCTTTCAGAAGTCAAAGCCCAAGGACAGTGCCTCCTACAAGCACAGATCCTCCTGTACTGTGATCCAGAGGAAGGAATGATACCAAGTCCTGTACAGATAAAAACCAAACCAAATTGCAATCAAATTTAATCTCTGTATAATGATTTACTGTAAGCTTACTCTGAATTCTGATTTCAAAACCATGAAATATCCTTTAATATGGTTTTTAATTAAATCTAATTTAATAAAATGTGTGCCAGTACAGGTAAGGTTTAACTGCAGCAACACAAAAATAGCCTTTGTGAGAGGTGTGGGTTTTCTTGTTCTCATACAGTACCATGCTCATTCAAGCTGCATTTATTTATAAATAATCAAGAAGCTTTTTGCCAGCATACTCTGGGTTTTCTGTATTCACTTCAAGACAGGCATTTTTAGTCTATTTTTCATTTCACAGTATTATCAAATTTAGCTCCTTAGAGTTTATGTTCAGTTGCATTCGAATGACGAGGATTCTATTTTGAACTCATTTCTTAGTGTTTTAACTTTTAAATGCCACACTCCCCACCTCCGTCACAGTAACTTTCTTTTTGTTATTCATTAATTCATTTGTTGCTATAGTTACAGAGTAAGGACCTTAGAATGCTTCACAACGCAAGTCTGTTAATTCCTTTATTCTTAGCTTTGACCCTTTAAAGGGGTCTGATATAAAAAGGAAGAGAACAGACAAATTAAATATGACTGTTAGTACGAAAGAGATTTATTTATTGAAACAGATCATTATTAGTCTGTTAAATTAAACTGAAAAAGTGTAGTGTAGGCAGATAGCTTGGGCTCTTCATTGAGCTATTTTGAAGGTCTCCAATAACTTGCTTTTCATATATATATATATGACAACGAGCCTAGTAAATCAATGTAATAAATATACTGTATGCAAAAAAAAAAGATATGCTGTGTTCTTGTAGGTATTGTAGCCTCAGGAATATGAGGCTGTTATTTTATTGGTTACCAGTAGGTGGAACTGAATGCTCATAAGGTCATTTCTTCCCATCAGCCAGTTAATAGAGGTAATACAATACAGTTTCTGCTGGGTTGCTGCAGCTTTTTTTCATAAATATGCATTGTTAGGTTTCTAACAAAGTTGCTTATCACACCATAAACTCAAATTCAATATTATCAGCAAAATAGCAAAATGCACTTTGTATCTCTGAAAATTGCTGTAGCATGTTTAAATGTAGGAATGCTTAAACTAACGGGTGCAAATCAGTGGTTGTACCTAGATGATGTCTTTATAATGGTCATCTTCAAGGCTTCTGTCTTCAGATTTGGCACAAAACACAGCAAACGTTTCAGGGAGAAATAACCATGAGGGATCAAACTACAAGAAACCTTCAGCACTATGCTTATAACGACTGTTAGTAACAATAACCAGTTAAATTCTGAGGTGTAATCTGTACTTATTGGCTCAAAGTATGTTTTTTTTTTAAAGGTCTACTGCTGCCTTTTTAGAAGCATTGTTAAAAAGGCTTGGAAAGTTTGCAAACGAAATCTAAGGAGATGCGAGCATCAGGGAAAGACATCAATAATGTATATATTCACAAGTGCCAGGGAGACCCATGGAGCAATCTGGGATGCGCTTCCAGTTTTATCTGAAGTGACACGGACAGCACAAGCACTTCCATGAAATATGCATCAGCTAAAGTTGTGTCCGCTGATAGAAAGGCATTCTCTGGGACTGATTTATAATGCTTTCTGGAGTGGTAATGCAATGTCATTGTGAGCAGTGATTAGCAAATGGCTTACACTGGCATACCCAAGACAAACTCTTTAGGAGCTGACCACACCCTGGAATACATTACTGCTATGTTATTAGACCCTGTGGATCTTGTTAGATTTTATATTAAAACTGTGCACCGTTCTACCTACAGTAGATCACTTGATGTTTTAATAGTTAATGCCTGTGTTTTGAGGGTGGATATCTCTACCCCCACATTATATGGCCACAGGTGATCACTCACATCAAATACAGGTAGGTTCTTGCACTAATACGGCACTTTACTGATTAATAGGCAGAGAGCAGACACACAAAGAGGGAGTCCCTGGACTGGGACAGCAAAAGAAGACAATGATATAATACACACCAACACAAAAAACTTTATAACCACAGAACATGGATCTGTTTTTACAACCGGATGCTTTGCAGAGGGTGGCACAGTGGCAGAGTGGCTGAAGCTCTGGGTTAAATTCCGGAGCTTTCGAAAGGGTGATATCTACTGTACCTGGAGTTGGTAGGTTTTCTCCTTACAGCGCTGAGGCCCTGGGTTTGATTTCTGGGATGCTCTCGGCACGTTCTCCCTGTGTTCGCATGTTCCTTTATCATTTTAAAATGTATAGGCCCTACTATACAGTACATGTAAGGCTATAAAGTGGTACAATGGTAATGTGGAGTAATAGAGGCTTCAGCCTCTACCAGTTTCCGAATTTCAAAATTACCTTTTTTTAGGTATGTTCACCGAATGTGGACCTAACCAACTGGACCTCTGGAGAAGAAAAGAATAAATTCCCGCTGTGGACACATCATTCCTACCTACGTCTGCTCATCATAAATGGTTCAATTACTAAGTTCTACTTAGTTAGAAATACAGGCAGAAATAAAGGAGAGAGTAA